CGAGCCCGAGATCGCGATCCCCCTTTTACAGTGCTACGACGCCACCATCGAGGCGAAGTCCGCCACGGCCGAGGCCCAGCTCGTGGCGAATCGCCAACTCCAGACGGCCCTGACGGCCCGCGAGGAGGTCATCGCGGGGCTGCGAAATGACCTCCGCGTCGCCGAGGCCCTCACCGCGCGGGTGCGGGAGAAGTTCGAGGAGGAGGCCCAACTTCAGCGGCAGCGCGCGCAGGAGCTGCAGGGGGAGTGCGATCGCCTACGGCGGGAGCTCACGCACGCGATGGAGGCCGCAAGCGCCGCGACGCTGACCGCCGAGCGCGAGCAAAAGGCCACGGCGGAGATGAAATCCGCCATGGAGGCTCTTCGTGAGAGAACGCAGCCGGAGGAGGAGCGGCCGTGGCGGTTGCGGAAGCCACTGGAGCGTGTGGTGGATGAGCCCGACCCCTGCGGCGAAGCCCAGCAGCTGCAGTTGGATCTTTTGCGAAAGGAAAACAGCGATAAGCTGACGGAGCTTGAGCAGTTGCGGGAGCGGATGATCAAAGCACTCCGACAGGCTTCCGAGAACCACGCCTCGCACCTCCGCCTGGTGGAGGAGCGGCATCGCCTCGTCATCGAGGAGCATCGCGAGGCTCAGCGCACACAGGAGCTGGAGATTCAGAAGCTGCGTGCGCAGCTCGCCCGTGTGGAAGGGGGAACCTCTACTTTTTTATTTCCTTCCAACGGTAGGTGCACGACACGGGAGATTATGGAGGAGCAAGCCCAGCGTGCGCAGACCGCGGAGCTTCGCCAGCTCACCGAGGAGCTTTCGCACGTTCAACTGCAAAAAGACGAGGTCACACGGCGTTATGAACTCCTTTTGCAAAACTCTCGCCAGGATACCGAGGAAGTGGTTAAGCGTCAGCAATACCAGACAAACGCCCTGCAAAAACAGCTCACGGAGGCCCAACAGATTCATCGACGCACGCAGGAGGAGCTCACCACTTATAAGGGAAAACTCGCACGGGCCCAAGAGGAGCTTCGTGGGCTGCGAAGCGAAGCGGACGAGGTACGTTCTGAGCGAGAAAGCATCTCGGAGAGGCTCACCGCCGCGCAGGAGCAAATAGCAAACTTTAAAGAGAAGGTTTTTCGTGCGCAGGCGGAGGGGCGGGCTGCGGTGGAATCTGAAAAGCGTCGTGTAGACGCGCTTGAGCAGCGCGTTACCGAGGTGCTGCGCGAGCTTGACTCCGCAAGGACGAACTCCAACAGCGAAAGCCTCCGCGCGCAGGAGGAGCGCGATGCGAGCCTCGCTAAGATGCAAGAAATCGAGCAAAAAGCTCAGGCTCTGAGAGAGGCCATGCAGAGCATACAGATTGAACGAGATCAGCTCCGCGTACAGCTCGGGCGTCTGCAGCAGGGCTTGGAATTGCATAAACAGCGGCTTGCCGCTGGTGAGCTGGAGATCAGTAAGCTACGCGCGGAGGTTGCCACGGGGGAGCAGCAAAGGAAAAAATTATTACTTTCGATGGAGAAGCTGAGCTTGGAGAATGCGCGGCTCATGCACTCGCGGGATCGTCTGCTAGAAAGCCTCTAGCCTATTCGAGTGTTGTATTGATCGAAGCGGAAATAGCGTTGGTGGAAAATCCGATTGGGGTAGATGAGGGCATTTTCTTTCTCATAGATGTTATTTCTCCTCTTTTCTTAGATACACGGGCTGATCCAACTTGTGAGACTGCAGTGCGTTGTGCAAGAGCGTCCCTCGTTCTTCCCTCAGTGGGAAAAAAGATTCATAGTTTGTAGATAAAGACCGGAATTCTTATGCCACTGTTTATAGGACGATTGCTGTATGTCTTTTTTTTTCAAATCATCCCATAGATTATTCCACATGCCATCATTATTATCATTGGTTATTCTTATAACTAGTATTGATTTATAGATGTCTATGTATTTCTATAACTTCAAATTCCAGGTGGATATTTGTCCATATAGATGCTCCATGAGGCCTTAACAGAAGCTGCTTTCTGTCCTCAACAATGAGATTTCCTCTTTTTACGCGTGTGTCCCCTCCAGATAGCTTGCGCTGTTCATTTCTGCTGCATCCAAAAATCATCACATGTTGTGCATTTTAAATTGTCTTGATAGCTCTTTTATCGTCTATGCCTCACTCCCAAATGCAGTTCTGTGTGTGTACAAAATACAGAGAGGATTCAAGATTTCAATATTAACATCTTTTCATACATATATATCGTTATATATATGTACATTTTGATTTAACGATTAGTCAAAATTGAATGCAGAAGGGTTCTCGCACGCCATCAATGTCTACAGGATCCAATGATTCCTCCAACAGGTGTTTAGATCCCAAGGTGGGGATAGTATCATCCACTGATAAACTTCCTCTTTGCCGTATCACCCCAAAGGAGTGGTTTGCCGTAGCGAGGTGGTCGTGGGATGTCCCCGAGGAGAGTTGCATGATCTGCAAATGTGCGCTCGTTGAGGCTTGTGTGGAATGCCAAGCACGCGGGATGGTGATTTCTGCTCCCCTTTCTTCTCATTCCAATTCCCATCACGATTTCGATTCCTATCTTCGTTCTTCATCGTCGCCTTTGATGGAAGGGGAGGACTGCCGTATCGCGTTGGGATGCTGCAATCATGTCTTTCACGATCACTGTCTTAGCCGTTGGTTAGTACAGAACACGGTTTGCCCGGTGTGCACAAAGAAGTGGAAACTTCTAGAGTTAACCTCCAACGATTGAATGGGAGTGAGAATGGGAAGATGTGTTCTTGTATATCATAAAGTAGGTATATATATATATATATATATATGGACATTGCTATATGATTGTCATTTCTTGATCTCCTTTTGTTAGTTTCTTCCACGTTCATTAGTTTTCTGTGTCTGGAGGTAATCATGGGAGGGAGCTTGAATTTTCTTTCAGCGGAACAAATATTAGTATACTTCAACTTAGACGTATACAATCTTTCTTTTCATTCCCTTTTCCTTCTCTCCTGTATTGATCATGTTTTAATCGTTATTAAAGTATCGTGTGTCTAAACAATAATAAAAAAGAAATGCTTCATTGTTGGCTTGACATTTGCATGATATTAGCATGAAGAGAAGTAAAAGGAGCAACTATCGATGACGACAAACCCCAAACCATAACCTGTAGAGTAAACGATAACAAACGAAGAAGCGACTGATGTGAAGGGTCGAACACGAATCGGTCTCCTTTTTTTCTCCCCC